TTTTACCAAGGCCAGATCAGAGCTAACAGAGTCAGGGAGACAGTCTGTACACTGTTTCTGATATTTCAAGAAACCTAAACACGAAACCACTTCGGATCATAATGAGCACCAAAAAGTATTAGCTTTTCCAGGTGGCACTTTGGCAATGACTTCAGTCCACATTGCTTAATGAAGATATAATAGGAGGTGCAGACCAAGTTAGGTGCTGGGGCACAGAGACAAGTAAGATGTTGTTTCTGCTCTTACAAGGCTCATGGTGGTGGTGGGGTTTTGTGCCTTGGAGCCGGTTGACTCACAGTGACCCTGTATAGGATTTCCAAGGCTATACATCTTTACAGGAGCAGAAAATCGTATCTTTCTCCCATGGAACAACTGGTAGATTTGAACTGCTTATCTGTGGTTAGCAGCCCAACTCAAAACCCAGTACCCTACCAGACTCCTTCACAAAGCTCGTAGTCTTATTTATTTTTATTTTTTAACTTTTTACTGTGAATTGAATATAAAGGTTTACAGCTAATATCATCAGTTTTACATGTAACAAATCATATGCATTGTTTCGATGATTGCATTCCCCCTCCATTCCACAGCAGTTGTCCCGCTTCCTTCATATGGCTCCTGTCTCCTTGCCACCCACCTTCCCATTCCCTCTCCACTTTGACTTTAGGCAAATGTTGTCCTTTTGATTATGAATGGTTGAGCATTCCATGGTGAATATACCTTACTAGTGTTGTCTTCCCTGTATACTGGCTGTCCATTGCTTGGCTGAAAATTGGGTCATGAGGGTGAGTTCCTTTCCAGACCTGAAGGGGGGTTTAGGAATGTAGTCTAGGGTTAATCTAGTTTCTTTCTGATCAGTAAGTTCAGTTTTGTTTTTTGGGTGTTTTGTTTTTTTTTGTAATTTTGAGTTTTGTTCCATATTTCCTCCCACTTTATCTGGACTTTTTATTGTGGTCCCTTCCAGAGCAGTTGGTATTGGTAACCAGACACCATCTAGTTCTGAAGCACATGAACAGACCAATAGTTGCACCTTAGATGGTCCCTCCTTAGCTTTTTAAGATCCTAGACACTGCTCACCAACATAGGATGTTTGATTTGGGGGCTCAGGACCATGGTGTCCCCTGGGATGATGGTCCTGAGCCCCCAACCCAGCAGTTTGTGGGTATACTCTCACTCCTTCTCCCATACCCGTGCAGCCTGTGTTTGTGCCCATGTATCTACCCACAGGATACTGTTGTTCCAAGGTTGTGCATATAGCACTTACTAGGTATTTTAAAGATTAAAGTAAATGTTTATGTTTTTATAAAATACTTGTTTTCTTTCTTAAAGTTGCTGAATCTTGGGTATTTTGGGAGTAGAAGTGTACTTAGTTAATCCGTTTCTCTTTTATCTTGTCCACATTTATTCAGTTTTAAATTTTGTACTGTTGATATAATACTTTGCCTAAAAGCAGGCTTTCTGATTTCCTGGGTTCCACAGTCTTTAAATCTTTTTGACTAACTAATCTAGCACTGTTCTGGGGGTGGGAACCCTAAACTCACATATATTTTATAGAGACCCTTTTATTCAGTCTTAAACTGAATTGAAGACAAATCATCTGGATGAGGGAGACCATCTGCTTGAGGCCATAATGGTGTCCACAGGGTTTGTGGCCATATTGTCAGTTTCAGAATATTAAAAACAACAAATTCATGATTAGTGGCAGATCAATATATCGCTGTTACGAGCAGAGCTATAGAAGAAGCAAAGGCACCATTATTGGGAGTATGTACACTATTACAGATTAGAGAAGGATTGGCTATGATACCTCCAGCCACCTTGGTTGGGCTATCACTCATGCCCATGTAGCCTTGGTACCCCAATTTCCATTTACAGTAGGCCCGCACAAGTCCTGAGGACCAAACTGCCCTTTCCTGGGCTAGTTAGAGAAGTCTTAGTAATCTACTTTGAAACACACTTTGCCTGAGGGCAAAACATTTTAGGTTGCTGATTAATTATCAGAATGAACTCAGTGGAGTCTGAATATATATCAAGACTCAGAATGAAGTTGGGGCTCTCCTATAAACCATAAACTCAAAATCCCATGGCTATTGAGTTAATTCTGATGCACAGTGACCTTGTGTAGGCTGTAAATCTTTATGGGAGCAAAAATCCTCACCTCTCGAGGAGCAGCTGGTGAATTTAAAGTACCAACCTTGTGGTTAACAGTCCAGTGCTTATCCTACAGCACTAACAAACTGTAGCTTCTCTCAAGGTAAGTATTCAGAATTTGAGCTCTTAATACAGCGTCTAATATGTGCCATCGTATCTTGTTTTGTGTTTTACGTCTATTTCAGTGACAGTCACACTGAAGGCTATTTATATGTTTGCAGGTTTGTCTCCTCACTAGACTATGAGCTCCTTGAAAGAAGGAATCGTGTCTTACTCATCTTTGTATCCCCAGTGTCTGGCACAGTTCTTGATACATAGTAAGTTACTAATATTTTTTAAAAATTAAAACTTATTTTTAACAAACTCCATATATGTTCTTAGGTAATAATACTTATATAGACGTAGTGCTGTGTTGTCATAAAAAATGTGCCATACAAATTATTGTTGTTAAGTGCCATCGAGTCAGTTTCAACTCATAGCTACCCTGTATAAGATTTCTGAGGAGTGGCTGGTGAGTTTGAACCACTGACCTTGCAGTTCAAACCGTACTACTTGTGGTCCAGTGCATTAATCCAAAGTGCCACAACAGGACGCCATATAAATAGCACCTTCTGTTTCACATGCCACACAGCCTTATGGTGTTCAATGTGAAGATTAGCTGTTGAATTTTATTTACTGTGTATCTTTCACTTTGGAGCAAGATGGTGACATTTTTAACCATTTCTGTAGTCCTGATGTGGGCACTGTAGGATAAGCACTAGACTACTAACTGTATGAATGGCAGTTCAGACCCACCAGCCATTCCTGAAAAACCCTACCCATGGCTGCTATGAGTCAGAACCAACTTGATGGCACTTGACAACAACAACAGCAACATCACTTTTTGCAGTTAAAATTCATTTAGAGGCTTGTACTCTTGAATCTGAGGATTAGTTTATATAGAATAAAGGGAGAAATTGAATTGGAGATTAAATAAGAGTGCAGATCGTCCTTTTAACTCATTGACATTGTTTCTCAGTAGTCATAGTGTTTTAAATTTGAAAATTCTCCTCAAATAATTTTTTGCCTGCATCTCTATTTCAGCAATTAATTGATCTAATTCTCTAATGAAATACTTTAGTTTCTTTTTGTGTACTTCCAGAGAAAATCAGCATCTTCACTTGTCCTTAGAACCCTCATTTGGTGCTCTGAGGGAGAAGAGTCTTTGCTTTGAAGACTATATGCCATCTGTATGAAAGCTATTCCTATAGTTGTGTTCCTCCACGGGTCACAGACTTTCACACAGATAGCATACACAACACTACCTGGTCCCACTCCAGCCACAGTCACTGCTGTTCTGAGTCCCTTACTACATACTCACTGTGTCAGTCCATTTTGTTGAGGGCCTTCTTCTTTTACACTGATCCTCTGCTTTACCAAGCATCATATCCTCCTCCCAAAAGATTAGATACTATGTAGTGAAAGCTGGAACCTGTGTGAGGAGGACTTTGTCAAAGAAAGAAAACAAACTCACAAGAGCCAGAAAAACAAAGCAGTCCTGTCACAGATTTCACTGTATTAAGAAGTTACGATAAGGGTTTTCAGTAGCAGATTATTCAGAAGTAGCTTGCCAGACATTTCTTCCAAGACACGTTTGTTGGACTCAAGCCTCCATCCTTTCATTAACTGTTTGTACCACCCAGGAACTTCGCTTGAGAAAAGGAGTGTGACCTCAGGAGATTTGTTATTCATACTTTATTTAAGTTCCACATGAAGCATGTTTGTGTATTTAAATAGTATCTTTGATCCACTATGAATATTAAAAACCAGTATATATTTCAATTTCCCCCATATCTGCTTATGTGTGCTTTGTTCTTGGCTGCAAATTTTCTTTAAACATGCATTTTTGATGATTTCATGCCATTTGTTATCATTAATGATGGGGGAAATGAATGGCAGATTTTCTCATTTTTTTTCCTTCTTCGCATTCAGATGAACAGTACACATTCTTCATGAATACCAGTTTTATATGCTTCTCTGACATTTGAATTTCTAAGCTTGAAATTCTTCTGGAATGGCTTTAAATGGCTATATCCTTTTAATTTTTTAAAACCTTTGTTTTCAAATAATTTCAAACATAATAAAACTGTTTCAAACTTTGTACAAATAATTCTGTACCAAACTTTGTACAAATAATTCTGTATACCTTTCACATAGATTTGACATTTTTCATAATCCCAGTACAATAATCACAATCAGGAATTAATAATGATAATCTTTATGAAAGTTTGCCAGTTGTCTCACAGATGTCCAAACACAAATTGAGGGCTAACCCACAAAATAACTGGTCCATACTTTTCAAAAGTATCACGGTCATGAAAGATAAAGACTGATGAACTGTTTGAAGTTAGAAGGAAACTAAGATAAGAGTTCAGGTGTGGTGCTGCAGGATAAAGCACTGGACTGCAATGCAAGATCGACAGTTCAAACTCACCAACCATCTTGGAAAGTCTTATGAAGGGTCACTGTGAGTTAGAACTGACTCGATGGCACTTGACAACAACATCAAGGATATATGACAGCTAAACCATCATGTGACCCTGAATTCTTAGTATCATTACTTGTTTTGCTGCTCAGATTGACCCAGATACAGTTAAACAGCCATATTCTTTAATGACTCTGCTACAGTGGTAAGTCATAAATAGTGGGTGATTCTGAACATATCAATATGTGACAAGTTGAAGTGGTCTCATAATTAATTCAAACAAACCATTCTAATCATATTGACAGTTGCAATCTTTTGTCTAACACAAATTTAAATATATATATATATATATATGTATTCTCTTTAGGTTTCAGCTGAATTTTGGGACATGGCCACTGCCTCACCAAGGTCTGCTACTAGTAATAACCATAGTGGAAGGTTACAGTTACAGGTAACTGGTAAGTTGTTATTTTTTATAATTTAAAACAGTGATTCCCTAATGAAACTTCCTCTTTTTTAGCTAGTTTAACAGACTTACTCCATAAAAGTCTTCTCTTGTGGATAAGTACTTTGTTGTATTTGTTGCAGCAGGCCCTTTGGGGCTTGTAAACATATTTAATTGATTGAGTCTGTGCTGGGTTCCTAGAAGGTCTCTGGTAGTAGAAGAATTTGGGAAATGAAATAAGTGTCACTGAGTTGGTGCTTGAATGATTAATCATGTGGAGAAAGATGCAGAAGACCTGTTCTTTCTTCCATTTATCCATTCATTCAGTCATTGGATAGTTATTTATTAAGCAGGGCTACATTTATGACAGCACAGGCCCTAGTTCTTCGTGAATTTACTGTGTACACATGAAAAAGATTTGATTTGAACAGATAGTTACCTTACCATGCAGTGTGATTATTAACTAGGTACAATGAGAACTTAGGGGAAGGTGTACAAAGTCTGCTTGGATTGGGTCAGAGATAACTAGGTTAAGATATGACCTCACAGAGAAGGTAACACTTAATGCTCTTGCAGGAAGAACCAGAATTCATCTCAAATTTTTAGATTGTCAGCAGTATTCATGGAAGAGGGAATAGCTTCTGAAAGAGCATGAAAGAGCTTTGTGGGTTTAAGAAATGTCAGATAATTCATTCTAGGATTACATGGCTCAAGGAGGAGTGGTTATGAAGCCAGAAATTTTACTTGTAGGAATTTATCTTTCATGAAAAGCATGTATAAGGCAGTTTCAGTATTGTTTGTAATAGCAAAAGACTAGCATTGGAGTACTAGATAGACGTGAAATGATTGAGACTGGATGATGTGTACAGACTAAATATATGCTTTAAGATATATTACGTGAGAAAGCAAGGTTGTGGGAAAGTGGATAGTGTGCTACCTAGGATATAAAAAGAAGAGTTGTATGTATGCCATATAGTGATTCTTGTTAAATGCCATAGAGTCGAATCTCACCCACAGCAACTCTGCATAGGGTTTCCGAGGAGCAATTGATGAGATTGAACTGCCAACCTTGAAGTTTAAACTGACTTTGCAGTCTAGTGCATTAACCAACAGCACCACACCAGGACTCTTCTATAAGAGTGTTGTGGTGGTGACGTGCCGTTGAGTCGCTTCCGACCCATAGTGACCCTGTATAGGGTTTCCAAGGAGTGATTGGTGAGCTTGAACCGCCAACCTTATGGTTCAAATGGACTTTGCAATCCGGCACATTTACCCATAGAGCCATACCAAGACTCCTGGTGTGCTTAGAACACTAGAAATAGTGTCAGTGAATGTGGAGGTTAGAGGCAAAGGTACTTAATGTACTTCCTGTGGTGCATTTTCAAGGAATCAAAAAGCAACCCAAATCTGCCATCTCGTTGCTTCTGAATCATAATAACCCTGTATGGGATTTCTGAGACTGTAAACCTTTACAAGAGCAGAAAGCCTCATCTTTCTCCTTCTGAGTGGCTGGTGGGTCTGAGCTGCCAACCTTGAGTTACTTACTATCGTTTCAAGTTTTTATTACTTTTCTCTTACCCTTAAATCTTGATTTCAAATGATAGTAGCAATATTACATTTGTTTCATTCTAATACACACTCATAGACCTCCGCATTGGGTAGTTTCAAAATAAGATTAAAATTAGCAAAAACAATAAGCCTGCTCAATTCAGTTTAAAATTTCTTTGTGAGTTTTTCCCCTTTAGGTTGTATGTTCAGAATACCATGTATTAGAGTGACTTAAAATAATTTTCCATTTGGTTATTCCACCAAATTGATAATCAGTTAGGCTCATTGTTTTCAGTTTTTATTTATTTATTTTTTTTTATTTAATTGCCTTCTTTTACCATGTAAATGTGAATCAGAGTTGACTTGTAAACACCCAAAACAATCTTTACAAGAGCAAATAACCATGCCCTTTTTCCCACAGAGTGGCTGGTAGATTCGAAATATTGACCTTTCTGTTAGTAGCTGAGCACATAGCCAATGCATCACCAAGCTCCTTTTAGCGGTTATATCAACGTTAATTCAACCAGTCTCCTGTTGATGGACATTGGATGAGGTTCCACTTTTGCATTAGCTTCATGCAAATATCGTTTCTTATTTTTGCTCATATATGCTCTAATAGCGTAGTGGATATGAGTCGGGCTGCTAACCTCAAGGCCAGCAATTCAAAACTACCAGCTGTTCTGTGGGAGAAAGATGAGGCTTTCTACTTCTGTAAAAATTTACAGCCTCAGAAACCCTGTACAGGGTTGCTATGACTCAGAACCGACTCCATGGCACATAACCACCATCAGTGAAGCAGGGATTGTGGCAACTCCATGTAATAAGCACTGGACTTTGAGCCACAAGATCCATAGTTCAGGCTCACTAGCTGGCTCCATGGGAGAAAGATTTAAAGCCTCAGAAACCCTACACAGGGTCACTGAGTCTGAACCAACAAGAACAACATTTTTGGAATAAAATCCTAGAAGAGATTGCTGGATTAAAGAGTAAATGCCTGAGGTTTGCTGATTGTTGTCAAAATTCCTCTCCTTGTGATCTGTAGCATGTCTCCCCACCCCCTCTCCATCCCTGCCAGCTTTGTATGTTTTTAGTTGCTGTGGGGTTGGTTCCTTCTCGTAGCAGCCACAAGCACAACAGAATGAAACACTGTTCAGTCCTTTACCATCCTCACAGTCTTTGCTGCTGCCACTGTGCCAGTTCATCTTGTTGGAGTCTACTTCTTTTTCAGTGACCTCCACTTTAGCAAGCATGATGTCCTCTCCAGGGACTGGTCCTCTCTGATAATATGTCTCAAGTGTGAAAGATGAAGTCTGGCTATTCTTACTCTGTCTTCTAAGAAACATTCTGGTTGAACTTCTTCCAACACAGCTATATGTAAGAGTACCTGTTTTCCCATAACGTCACCAAAATGTGTTTTCAAGATTTGTATTTTTGACAATTGACTAGCTAAGAAAGTAGTATCTTAGTATCATTTTGTATTTCTTTTTCTGTGAACCTTAGGCTTGTGCATTATGAAGCAATTTCCCAAGTCTTTCTGTGTATACTGAAGATGCAGTGATACAATTCCTTGTATTTCTGCTTTTGCTTTACACATTTTGGCTCAGTGTTTCCTGAATGGCAATCCCATGGTCACTATGAGTTGAAATCATACAAAAGTTCTTAGGTAAAGTAACAAAAACCTAATCTGGCCAGTTTGAGGCCAAAAGGAATTTGTTGAAAGGCTATCAGGTAGTGTGTGCTATCCCCAGAAGTCTAGCAGTCCAACTGGAAAATAGATATCAAGGGAGTCTTAACTAGCTAAGCTATGCCACTACAGTGTTTGTCATTTTGAGTATCAGTTATTGTTCTGCTTTGAAATCCAGTGATGCTCTTGGGACATATAGGACATGGACCTGTGCTGAATGACACCAGATTTTGTGCCTTACCTTTCTTCATTTTGTTGTGCAAATTTTTAAGAGACAGAGGACTCTGAAATTTCACAATTTTATTGATCTCACATGTACCTTATGGCATAAATAAAACCATTTCTGTTTTACTCATGAAGATCAGATTCAGAGTGATTAAATGCCTACAGTTATTAATAGGACACCAACCAAAGTCTTGGACTCCTGGACTGCGAACCACAAGATCAGCAGTTCAAACCCACCAGTTGCTCCTTAGAAACCCTATACAGGGTCATTATGAGTCAGAACTGACTTGACGGCACTTAAAAACAACCAAAGATTTAGAACTCCAAGTTGTTATTCTTAGTAACAGTGAGCTGTGTATTGATTTTTTCCCTTGATTTTAAAATAATTAGATTATGTCCCCTCTACTATTGCAGTCTGTCACTTTATGGTTTGTAAACTGAGTCCTGGTATGGTCCTGTAGGATTAGCACTGGACTGCAAACCACAAGATCAACAATTCATACCCAACAGACACTACTTGGAAATCCTACACAGGGTCACTATGAGTCAGAATTGACTCAGCAACACTTAATAACGACAAACTGAGGTAGTCTACCATATGCCAAAATAGGAAAATTCCTAATGTGCTATTTATTATGTCTGTTCTTAACCTATACCTATTAGCAGCAGCAAATAAGAATTCTTCAATGAAAGCAGGAAAACTGTGAGGGAAATAATCAAACAGCTACATATTGACAAATGTAATACATTGTAATGTAGCATATACATAGCATAATGTTGTTAAGTAAAGTTGGTTCTTACTCATAGTGACCCTGTATAGAGTTTTCGAGTAGCCACTGGTGAGTTTGAACCACTGACCATACGGTTCAAACCAGCCTTGAAGTCCTGCACATTAACCCACAGTGCCACATTAGGACTCCCGCATAAGCATAATAGCATACATACAAGTTAGATTTTGGACTTTGTGATGTTGTTGGCTGCTGTTTGGTTGATTTCCACTCACAGCAGCAGCACCATGTGACAGGGTAGATAGAACTGCTCCGTACGGTTTTCTAAAGTTATCTTTTCAGGTGCGTTTTTCCAGGTCTTTCTCTTTGGGAGCTGCTGGGTTGCTTCAAATTGCCAACTTTTCGGGTCACAACCAGTGCTTAGCCATTGCACTAACAACACAGTGTATAAAATATATAAAAGGATAAGACTTGAGAATTAGAAACAAATGGGCTGTTTTATCCATATTTATCATTTGTTTGACTCCTGTGTCTTTTAGTACCTTGTTGTGTTTTTGTTAAGTGCAGTCGAAGTCAGTTCCAGATCATAATAACCTTGTATAGGGTTTCCAAAGAGTGGCTGGTCGGTTTGAACCATCGACCTTGTGATTCCTACAGCGGCCCACCAGGACCTCTAGGACCTTAGTGGGTTCATTTAAATTGAAATTGTTGAATCATATGGGTGTTCATTTTTTATGAATTATGTGAACTATGAAACATTTAACTTTATTCTTTTCAAATTGTCAGTGTTATTTATGGAATAATCCATTGTTCTCACTGATAAGAAATAGCACCATTAGTTCATTTTATACTAAAAAATAACATTGGGATAAATCTGTTCTCATTGATTTTCATCTTAAAATATGTCAGTGTATTTAAAAGTATTAAATTTTAAAACTAAGTTTTTACATAAAGCATTGTGTTTTTGAAGTCAAGTTCCCACAGAAAGCCTTTTTTTAAAAAAGTCCCAAAGTTTGAGACAGGTAAACTGTTTTTAGTACATAGCAGAGATGTTATAGACAATTGGTTTTTGATCCTTGATTCAGTTTAGTATTAAATTCAAATGGATGGCGAGGACGTGGAGAAATTGAGACCTTGGTGTACTGCTGGTGGGAATGTAAAACCATAGAGCCACTTAGGAAAGCAGCCTGGCAGTTTCTCAGTATAGTTACCATATGGTTCAGCAATTACAGTACTGGGTGTATTCCCCTAGAGGAATGTAAACACACGTCTACATAAAAAGTTAGGAATGTTGATATCAGCATTGTGCACAATAGCCAAAAGGTGGAGATAACTCAAATGTTCATCAACTGTTGACTGGGTGTGGTGCTGTAGGATAAGCACTGGACAGATAAATGCAAGGTTGGCAGGTAAAACCCACCAGCTGCTTTTTGGAAACCCTACACACAGGGTTGCTTTGAATGGAAAACCTACCCAACAGCACTTAACAACAACCAGTATCCATGTAATAGCATATAGTCTGGCAGCAAAAAAAAAAAAGAAGTACTGACTGATATATGCTAAAATCATTGAACTTCTGAGACATACGAAGTGAAAGAAACTAGTCACAAAAAACATATATTTTATAATTCCACTCATGAAATGTCCAGCATAGACAAATATATAGCGAGAGAAATATTAGTGGTTGCCTCGGACAAGGGGCCAATGGAGTTGAATGTTAAGTGATAGGAATTTCATTTTGTAGTGAAAATGTTTTCACTTGAACCTTGTGGCTCATTCTAACTTTACAGTCCAGTGAATTAACCCACAGCACCACACCAGGACTCTATTGTATGGTATGTGGCATGTAAACTATTTTTGAATAAAGCAGTTACCCACCCCACCCCCCCAAAAAAATTCAAATGGTTCTCCTGGTTCTCTGGCATTCTCAATAGGTCTTTTATATTGTTTCTTCATCCTACAAATGGACAAACTTTTAATTGCACAAGAAGCATATGTTCTTTTTTTTTTTTGTTCATAGTATTAGTTTTGGGCTACATACAACTACCAGTGGTTATCCTGTTTCTCTTAGTTTCTAGTGCCAAACTGAAAAGAAAAAAGAACTGGTTTGGAACAGCAATATATACAGAAGTAGCTGTAGATGGAGAAATTAAGAAAACAGCAAAATCCAGTAGTTCTTCTAATCCAAAATGGGATGAACAGCTAACTGTGTAAGTACCACATATAATAAATGCTAAATCTTCAAAAGGATGTATGCTTTTTGGAATACATTATGTTGTTGGATGACTTCGAAATAATGAGGGTATGTATGTATGTGTGTGTGTATTTTGTGTATTTTTTTGTCTCAGTATGTGTAGATGCTTTAAAGTATGGAGAAAATATTGATTAGCTTTATTTTCTTTAGAAAAACATAATCCTTGTCTTTGCTTTATAAATGAAATCACCTAGTCTTCACACTTACTGTACTGGTCTTAAAATAAATATGGCAGAAAATCATTTGTTCTTTCTTTTGGAATTTTTGATGTAAATGGTATAAATTTATATATAGTAAATTGATTGTAACAAATGTTTCAGTTGTTTAAAATCTTTGGCAATTTGTTCAAATAGAAATAGTGTTAGAATGTGAAATCTCAGTAAGACTCTTGATGTACTGCTAATGTTTTACTTTGTAAATTACAAACATTTTTATCCAGCCCTTAAAATCCTAATGTACTTGAAAGTAAATATTATGTACATATATGTTTTCTTAGGTAAATGGAATTTCTTTCTAGCTTTTAAAAAATTATTGAAGTAAATTATTTCAAAGACATTCTCACTCAGAGTAATGGTGTTGTACTACTTTGTTTTCCTTATAATTTTACCCTGTAGACATGTGACCCCACAAACTACTTTGGAATTTCGAGTTTGGAGTCATCACACTTTAAAAGCAGATGCTATGTTAGGAAGAGCAACAGTAGATTTGAAACAAGCTCTGTTAATACACAATAGAAAATGTAAGTTTTTTGTTCTAACCTTTGTTTCCTTAAAGAGCTTACTTTAATGGTGGTCTATGGATAGATGCATGAATAGGCAGTCAGACTGAACAGCTGTGGAAGGAGGATTGGGAGTATACCTACAGATACATAAAGGTTTGACGGAGGATATTTGTACTTATTTCAACTTGAGTGTTTATTTACCTTTGCTGCAAATATATCCATAAATGTGGTGGAGCATACAGGGACAAGTTAAGAAAACTTCTTAAACATAACCAAACACCTTAAAGGAGTGAGTTGGTGGGTCTAAGGGCTCCGGCCCATAATCTGGGGAGAAACCATGGTTAATTGGCATAACATAGTTCACAGAGACAGTGTTTACATTCCTACTTTGGTGAGTAGCAGGTAGGCTCTTAAAAACTTATGAGTGGTACAATTATTGGTTTCTCCCTGTCTGGAGGAAAGCAGAGTGATGAAAATAGACACATGGAAACAATCAATCCTGTGGACTAATGGACCATATAAATATAAGTCTCTGTGACCCTGAGTCAAGAAGAGCTAGGTGGTGCCTGCACTGAAAAGAGTCGCATCAGAAGATCCTGGATAGAGTGGGAGAAAAACGTGGACAAAACTCACCATCATAAAAAAGAGCAGACTTTTACTGGTTGGATAGAGACTGATGGAACTGCCGAGACTCTGGCCCTTGCTCACCCTTCAGGTCTGGACCTGAACTTACTCCTGTGACTGCTTTTCAGCCAGGCAATGGACAGGTCTATATGGGAACAATAACCGTAGTAAGGCGCTCACACCTTGGACTAATTAGCCACTTGAGATGAAAAGGGCAGTATTACCCAAGGACAAAGTTTAGAAGTGTTAGGAAAGAGAATGGAAACAGGAAATACGGGGAAGAAAGTGGGTTAAGTGATGTTACATTGAGGAAATTACATTCAGCAGGATGAAGCAAAATATGTATGAATTGTGTCATGTAAAATGAAGATCCATTCTGTAAACCTTCACCCCATTCACAAAAAGTTTAAATAAGTAAATACCTTATTCTGGGCACTTTGAAATTATCATGAAGTAGAAAAGCAATGTAGCAGCTTTGTATTCATAATGGAGAACATCACTTACTGCCTCCAATTGGCTTTATAACTTGAGACGGTATGTAGAATATACCTGGCCTTTCTACATTTTGCAGATTTACAAAATGACCTCAGTCATCCACAAATATCTTGTTATCAGTGATTATCAATGATGCATTATTTGCTATATACCTTAGAACTTATAAATGCAATCATTATGTTAGTCTACTTTTTCTCTGTAGTAACTATCCTTTTTTGTACAAAATACTTGCCCTTAAGTGTTCTTTATTATTATCTATTATATAAAATATAGAGATTATAGAAAACCACAATGAGAAATATAAAAATGATTATTAGTAAAGCTAAATTATTGTTTGGTATTAAGGTCACTTCATGGGATATTTTCATTTAAAAGTTTAAAGATTACCTCAAAGAAACAGTTTCTGGAGTTCACCCAGCCTCTATAGCTCCACAAAGTCTGGATTCCAAGAGAATTTTTAATTCTGTTCTATATTTCCCCCCTTTTGATTATGGTTCTTCTATAGAGTCTTGAATCAAAAAATACATTATAGTTGATGAAGTTCTTGATTACCTTTGTTGTAATATTCTAATTTACACTTGGACTCTGGATTTTAGTTAGATGTCAATTGATTGAACTTCAGTTAAATTTTCAGTGTGTTTTGCTATTTACCTTTAAAAAATAAACAAATAACTTGCTTAATGACAAACCTGATACCCCAACAAAAACATGATGAACCAGTGCTGAATATTCTGTACTTAACCTTTCTCCACCTTCAAATCAGGAATTACTCTTGGGTCTAAGGGAACTGGTTAATTATTAACGGTAATTTTCTGAGGTGTACTTTAAAAAAAGTACAAGTTAAATTATCATCACTTTAAATGAATAGAACTGTTTACTTATATAAAAGGCTACAGTGCAGGAGCATTCTGGAGTGAGTGTGTCTATTCCACACCTATTTACTGATAATAACTTTTCTAGGGATGAAAGAGGAGAGAGATTTCGGAAGAGGAAAGCAAGTAGACTGAGTTTTTAGGTTTCATGACTAAGAAAGAAGAGGGTCTGGCTTTTAAGAGAAGCCCTGAATCTAATATTCTTGAAAAGTTCAAGAATAGTTTCTGAGAAGACATTGGGAAAGTTTGTGATATCAGTCCAGTGATGGATGAGATAAAATCCTGGAAGGCAGATTGCAATATGGAAAAGGTAACTAGAAACAGAAAATGTATTTGTGGGAGTCATGATATTAAAGGATACAAGGATGGTTTAATCAGATTAGGAAAGTTATTTTAGGAATTTGAGGTGACATTTATAAAAACTAAACCACAAACAAAATGGAATGAACAAGCAGCTTGAAAACAGGCTTACTCATCTGTGTTGTTGCAGTGGTTCCCACTGCCAATAGTCAAAGATTAAGGATTTTTTTCTAGTAGAGAAACTTGAGAATTGATCAACTTAGTAAGAGACAAGGTTTGAATCAAATGTCTAAAAACAATAAAGGGATCTACATTTAAAAAAAAATTAAGTATGAGAGATGAGAAGAGATAACCCTAATTATTGGTTGTTAGTAAAATGGAACAGTGAAGTTAAAAAACAACTTACTTTATTTAAATGTCACAACCTAATAAAAATCCAACTATTTTACAAGGGAAATTCATTCCCTCTTTATAACTCCTTGTGAGTCTTCTGTTTTAACCTGCATAGCCTTAAGTGTTTCCATGTAATAAGATAAGTTGGGTTGTGTTCAGCGCTCTTGCTCCTGTATCTCTAGTGCATCATTTTAAACTTTTGTGAATTTAAGTCATCATTTGTGCTTCAAGTAGCCTTCAGTAATGTGTTCAGATCACTTGAACACCATTCAAAATTATGGAACTTGTTTTTGGCTCTGCAGAAATTTTTGGTATTTTTAGCTTTCTTTTCTTTTTGCTACCATCATTAAATACATATATATCACTGTTATCTGAGATCTGTTTTTCCCTCTCAGCCCTGCTATTTCTTTAAATTGTAAGGGATAACCCTCTATACACATAGGTGGAAAGTACAAGTATGGATAATATCCATACTTGTTGAAATATATACAAAATTTCACTTTGTTTCAAAATTGAGACTGACAGGACCACTTTAAACATTTGAGAAGAGTTAAATGTGTCCAAAGTGATTGGTAAACAATTGCTTCTTTATAGTGAGGATTGGGAAGTGCAGTGGCTTCTTGCGTGATAAGCTCTGACTGCAAACTGCAATGTCCGTGTTTAAAACTTGTCTGCCACTCCTCAGGAAAAAGACGAGGGTTCCGGTTTCCTCGAAGATTTAAGCTTTGGAAATCCTATACAGGGTTACAGAATCAGTACCCAACTCCTTGGCACTTTACAACAACAGCAAAGTGAGAATTAGGAATCAGAAAACCTTGTTATTCTTGAAATTGTGTATTCAAGTAATGTAACCTTGTACATTCATTCATTTCTAAAACTGTATTGTTTTCATATAAATGTGTGTATGATAACTAGCTTCCAAAATGATCCCCAGTGATTCCTACCTTCTGATACTACACACTTTTGGGTAGTCCCATCCCACAGTGAATTAGGGATGGCCTCTGTGGTCAGTAGAGTATGGCAGACATGATACAGTATGTGGCTTCAAGGTTAGGTCAGAACAGTCTTTTCAGCCTCTGTCTGGATCTCTTAGATTACTCACTCCCACTGGGGAAAATAGGGCCACCATTGAGAAGACAATCAAGAAGCCCACAGAGAGAGAACCGGTGGGGGAACTGAGGACTTCTCAGCAGCCAGCACCAGTTAGCCAGCAGATTGATTCTCCAGCTCCTTCCAAATTTTTTACCCCAGAAATTATAAGCAATAGTAGTTATTGCTGAATAATTTAGGATGATTTGATATTCAACAATACAGTAATACTCTGTAACCAGTTTTTTAAAAATAAGTTCATGTGTGAATCTGAGTTAAATACAACTCTAAGAAACCCCGTAAAAACCACAGTTGTCAAAGATCTTTTGTTTTTTGTGGCCATAGGAAAGATTGTTGTTGCTATTGCTGTTGTTGTTGTTGTTGTGTACCATGGAGTTGGTTCCGACTCATAGTGACCCTGCACAGGGTTTCTGAGGCTATAAATCTTTATGGGAGCAGAGCACCTCACCTTTCTCCCACGGAACCGCTGGTAGTTTCGAACTGCCGACCTTGAGGTTATTAACGCAGCCTGATTCGTAACCACTATGCTACCAGAGCTCCTTATTGTTGCTGTTAAGTGCCATCAAGTCAATTCTGACCCATAACGACACTGTATGGGGTTTCTAAGGAACAGCTGGTGAGCTTGAACTGCTAGCCTTGCAGTTCAAACCGACTTTGCATTCTAGTGCATTAACCCACAGCACCACAATATGTCTGACACGATCCATGACTCCTGTTGATATTAATTTAAGGGAAATACCTAGACTTTATTGCAGACTGTTTCTCTTCTAAAGTTAAGAAATTACGTCTAAGAAGTAGGAAACATCAACTTCTGCCTTACGAGTATGAATTTCCTAAGGATGTAACTATCTTGATCATTTATTCAAAAGTGTTTATTATCTGTCTCCGTCAGATACTGAGGATACATCACTGATATAGATAAACTAGACCTCTTCTGTTGGAGACTTTAGTTTAACTGGGGAATCGGGCAATGAATACTTCACATGGTGATAAGCACATTAAAGGATAAGCAGAGTAATGGCAGGGGATTCTTTCTCAGGTTGGTCAGAGTTCATCCTGCTTGCCTCGAGTATAATCCCTGGTGTATATTAGGCTCTTAAATACTGAATGACTGGATAGGACTGGGTTTGCTTGTATTGTAATAGAATGACATAAGACCCCCATCCATGCCTTGCCGCACATATACATGGAGATGGGAAGTATTTATGTCTTAATCCTCTTGAT